CAAGTAGAGGTCAAAGCCTTAAAGGGAAGACTGGTTCAATATCTTTTCACAAGTATACTAAAATTCCATGTTAACAAATTACATTCATGGGAATATTTTTGGAAATATATCCTCTGCATCCATATTTATGAAAATAGACTAGTATCTTATCTTTAACAGTTGGTTTAATGTACATGTACTGCGCACGTTTTAACGCAGTTAAAAAAATATGATTATATATTCTGTGATAAATTGCATCAGCTGTGTGCTTTTATGAAACATTCTGCTGCTACAAAACAGAAACTCAAATGATTACAAGTACTTAATACATAGATTCATTTTCAGTATGTTTTTTGTAGCATAGATTGGAACACTATCTATGATACATTATTTCTCCAACTTCATGCATGGCGTCACCAATTATGATTTAGCCATGTTAGTTTCGCTGCTGGTATTGTTCAGTTCATAAAACACTGACGTTACTGAATGAGTCCCACAATTAATTGGTTTAAGCTGGATTTTCAAATGAATCATACTACATAAAGCAGCAGGACTGAACTGGATTTTCTCTTAAAGGTGCTCCCAGACCCTTTGGATGGTTTGTACATAACCCTTGCAAAAAACACTCCGTGTCCATTCCGTGCATTCTCTCAATACAATAACAGACCTACCATGAGTCTTCCGCATTCATAACAAGTCAGTTTGAAATAAGGATTAAGCCAGAAAACAGTTCATATTCATCATGGTAAGTAAATGAGAAAATAAATCTGGAAAGTAATAAAAAATGGAGAAAAAATTAAGATTAATAACATAAACAGAACCTTTCTTGACAGATGCCCAGACTGAAACATCTAATGTTGAGTTACTTTTTCAGTTGAAGATCTGCTATATTTCTGCAATTTATAACAAATCAGAGAAGTGTGTGCGAGTTCCCATGGTTACGTACACTGTTAAAGGTCTTACAGGCAAACAATTTTTCATTCCTCTTCAGGAACCTTCCACAATCCTTATGATATGTTAAAAAGTTTTGAATGATCCTTAAAAAAAAAGTATTATTTTCAGAGCGCCAGAGTTACATGAACACACTCGTAGGACTCTCCATCCATGCATTTGCTACACCGTTTATTCCAAGTAGGGTCACAGATAAGCTGGAGTGTATCCCAGTTTACACTGGACAGAAGGCAGGGCACACCCTGGACAGATCGTCATTCAATCACAATCTGGCAAAACTTTCATCAATAGAATTTATTCTGTTGTGGACTGTTAAGCATTATATTCAATGTCAACTGAGGTGAAATTAGCCCAACACGACTGATAATAGAATTATGTTTTCTTCTTGAGGGTTACTCATGCATAAGGGGGTACCTGGCACACGGAAAACAGGGGACAAAGGCTCCATTTAAGAATACAAATGTCTTAATTTCACTAAAGAGCAGGGATGACAGCATGAGCTTTGTTCTGTGTTTAAACAGAATAACTAATCCTTCAAGTTACAGTCGTTTCAATGAACCATTCATATTTAATAGCGGGCAATACAGAAGAAAGACTACCTCATGGTTAAATGTGTGCACTTACCACATGTTACCACCAAGTTAATTAGTTTAACAGGCAATGACTGATCATTTTCAAATAGATTTGAACATGCATCTGACATTTGACAAATATATATGATTAGTGTTCTATGTCAAAAATGTAAGATCTGCCAAGTATTCTGCTTCGATTTTCAGATATTCAAAAGAATTGAAAGGGTCTAATTTAATGTAATTAACGCTTGGAGCTTGATTATTTGAAACTCTAAGAGAACGAAGGGAGAATTTAGCTTCATGCCAAAAAAAAAATCTGTAATCAAAATTGTATCAATTTAACCCACTTTTCACTTTAAAACTAGTCAATGCCCTGCATCTTATTGGTTATTCATTTTTTCCTTTCCCTCCCTAATGGCACATGCAGTTGTACAGGCACTTGTAAGGAAATGTAATTTTGCCACAGCCATTTTCAGCACACTTACAGCCCCATTTCTTAACTATCTCTTTTCTGTAGGACATGATAATCCAGTCTAATTTGGTTTCTAATATTCGTCTCTGAAGCATTTTCAATAACCTTAAGTCTGTTCACAGCTCGAGAGGGGGAAAATTACTTTGGGTCCATTGTTGTTTTCCACACTGTTGATGTGGCTGCTGATATATTTCTTTGGTGCATCTTGCAAGTTGGGTAGACTCTTTGAATGCACAGGTAGGACTTAGACTCACCTCTAGTTGGTTAGATATGTCCCTGTCAGCAATTGTAATATCAAGTAAACATAGCCATTTAATGTCTACTGTGTCCAGGGTGTAACTTGCCTCTTGCTCTGTGTATGCTGGGATAGGCTTCAGGGTGGTGTGATGGTAAGTAATTTCACCTCACAGCAAGGGGATTTGCAGTTTGAATCCCGGCTGGGGGCCCTTCTGTGTGGAGCTGGGAGGAATAAGTAAAGGGAAAATGGATTGATGGCTTTTTTAAGACCTTCGTTCTTATGTAAATCTCAATTTCATTCCTTTTTTAACCGTTTTTTTTCTCCATATCCTGAAGTTATTTTGTGAGTCACACTAAACGTTTACAGACCTATCAAAAGCTGACTGACTGTTCAACGAAGCCAGAACCTTCTCCAGCCGCATCAGGACAAATTTGATTTCCGATTGTGGTGATTTCTGCCTTTTTCGCAGCAGTGCAACGTCAATGAAGCAACAAAGACAACCGGCACAGCCACAACTAGTTTCTTTGTATCACACCCAAGGCAAAGCTTTGCATAACAAGGGCTGAAATTGCAACAGTTTTATTTAATCGCTTTGATATCTTTTCCTTTGCTGTCCATAAGGCAACAAACAAAAAAAGCAAAAACAAACCACACAATTACAGCTTTCTGCACAGTTTACAGCAAGAAAAACGAGACAACATTCAGTTTTTTTATATCTTTTTCGGGACACTCATAGAGCCCCTCGTATATGTACAAAGACATGATTGTTTGGACCTTCTGAGACACTCATTTGCACAAAAAAGAGCCATTTCACTTCAATGACAAAAAAAGAAGTCCCAAATCATGTCATTCAAATATACTGCTACACAGAGTATTCCTGTACCTCCAAAGAGGAGTTGTTAATGTTCAGCAAATGTTGCAAAGAAGAAGGTTCGTAGTTCGAAATAGGTTTAGAATATACATCCAGAGCAGTTGGCTGTCTTATACCACTCTATGGATTGCTGGTTACCAGCTCTGATAACTGGCTCATGGTGTGAGTTTCCTTGACTCATCACGTCAATCACAGGCTTTTTACAGGTTGCACAGGTGAGGCTTTTTACAAATTAAAATAAAGTTGAAAGTAAAACTGAGTCGTTTCGAAGAAAGGTGACCTTTCTGTCAGCAATTCTTTTAAAAAAAACACTCATTCAGTACAAATGGCCCCTTCCCAACTTTGACCAGGTCCTTTTGATTTCTGAGACTGAGCGAGTAGTTTAAAGAGTTAAACCTAAGCAGAAAACTCTCATCCCACCTGAGAAGTTGTGACGTATTGTGCATATGCTGCACAGCAGGTAACACCCACACATTAATGAGCAGAAACAAATACCCGTTCTTTACTCAAGAACAGGGAGAATGTGCAGAATCATAGTATAACGAATTAAAGAAAATGTAGGAAAACACTCTGTCTGAACTTTTTCTGCCTCTTTTTACCCTCAATCAATATTTGTGTGCATTTTACTAACAGACCAGTGCACTGAATGGTTACCTCTACCATGTACCAAACAACAGTTTAAAATAAAACGGTGTTGATAAAGTATGATGTTTGCTCTTTGAGTATAAAAGATTTTAAAAAAACAGAAGGCAAATGTCCAAATCCTGAAGTCAATGCCCAGAGACACTGGCAGTCAACAAACCACTGTTTAAGGTCCATAATGGCTACGTCCAGTCTCTGGTCCGCTGTTAACAATCAGGGCAGCGGCTGTTTTGTTGCTTTGTGGTGCTTTTCACTGTTGCCTTAAAAAACAGCCCTGGCATGGGGCGTGTCCGTGTAGAGTTTGCATGATTTCCCTGTACATCCATGTTTTTTTTTTTCTTTGGGTCCCAAAATGCCAGGTTATTGGTCAAAGTCAGTTAAGGAATCATGGTAATTTCTGAGCTCTTGTTTAGAACCTCTCCTGATTTTCTTGGAAGAAAACTTCCATGAAAATCAATTAACAAATCCCTTTTAAAGTGTGTTGTAAATTGTTGCGTGATGTATGTTTTCTCGGCCCTCCTTTTTTCCTTCAATGAATTCAATAAAAGTCCCCAGGATGACTGAATATGCGAGAAGCAGAGGGACTGTATCAGCAGCAGGGTGGTGACTATGAAGCAGCCTATGAATAATATGAATATCATTTCATTCTGAGTGGCAACTTTTCTCAGGATATATTTTTTTACAGCTTTAGATCATTTCTAGGAAACTAATGAAGAATGCAGGCACTCATCTTAATAGATAGATCTGTGAAGGCAGTTGACACAGAAAACGCACAAAAGTTCAAATCAGAGGACGAATAGGAAAGCTGAATATTTCACAAGAAATTTTAGACAAGTCCATGTACTTCACAAATGGACGCGTTGAAGAAGTTGATTTTGGAGCCTGATTTCGATCACAATACAATAAAGTCACAGTTATAGAGGGGAGAAGTTCTTTGAGTGTACACATTTGAAATGAGAGCATTTGTGACAGAAAGCGCAGGACAGGCTCCATCGGCTGAGGAACTGCGAGGCAGAAACAAGCTCCAGATAGACCTGCCGCTGAGCTGATGTCATGGTGAGAATGATTTGTCTGTCTTCTCAACAGGAAACGCCAGCGTGAAAACACCCAGAGGCGACTGTTACAGCGACAATTCATCAGCTTCCACTGAAGGGAACAGTCCATGTTCCTGTGAATCCTAGTCCTCAGAAAGGCTTCAGTTATCCAAACCCCATGTTGGGCCACTTGAACCCAGGAGATCATGTTTTCTATTAAGGTCGTGGAAACTGTTTCCAGTTACCTAACAGCCACGATGGGCTCGACAGAGAGGATGTCAATCCGTCCTGTGAGGGGCTGCCTGGCAGTGAAGCGCACGTGCGCGTCTTTCAGGTTGTGCGAGTGGCTGGAGGACGCGTGGCTCTGCTGTGACGAGTCCTGGCCCGGGTGTGTGGAAATGAGGCCCGGCCTGGAGGAGCGGTTGTTGTCGGGCCAGGCCGCCCTGCGATGGGGAGCGCACGCCGCCGCCGGGCGGTCCTGGGGCTGCGACCCCACGGCGGGCGCCCTCCTCCAGCTGCACCTGTCCAGGAGGAGCCGCAGCTCCTGGCGGAAGGTGGGGTTCAGGCAGCAGTAGATGAAAGGGTTGTAGCAGGTGGAGCTCATGGCCAGCCAGTGGAAGCAGAAGTACAGAGCGTTGGAGGAGTGGATGGCCTGGCTGGACAGGAGCACCACGTAGCAGTTGAGGGGAAACCAGCAGACGGCGAACACCCCGACGACCAGGAGCAGCATGGCCAGCGTTCGCCGGCGCTTCCTCCTCTGGGTGGCGTGCTGGGCCGTGGTGGTGTCGCCGATGGCATTGTGGCGCCACAGCCGACGGGCCACGGTGGTGTAGGAGGCGGTGATGATGAGGAGTGGCAGCATGTAAAGCAGAATGAAAGTCAGGAGGTCAATATACTGCCAGTAAACGTCCGACGGCTCCGGGAAGTCGGGGACGCACAGGCTCCGCTCCTTTTCCTTGCTGATGAGGAAAAGTCATTATAGGATAAAAGAGGAGGAAAAGAGCATAGGATGAGAAAAAAAGACTGTGGATTCGCTTCAGAGTTAAGTCAGAGGTTAATTCAACCCTGCAGGACATGATGATTTTAACAATCTGTGCATTTTTGCTCGTGGATTGGGGTCAACTTGTGTTAAAAATGGAAAAGTGGATCAGTGCACACATCATTTGCGTAATGACCATAATTTAATTGACAAAACACTATCGAATTATTACATTTCCCATGCAATTATTATTCAGTTCATATGAGCCAATTTCTTTGTTAGTTTTTCTTCATTGATCATTATTTATTATTGTGTGCAAACTCAGACCAGCATAAGGTAAAGATGAATTTCTCAGGTCTTTTTCAGATGTTTTGTAGTTTATTGACATCCCTTTTAAATACTTTTCTACTGCTACAGACAGCCTTTAATTACATGTTTTTTCTGTCTACAACCTTTTTTTTTTTTTTTTTAGAGGACACGCAAGTATTCAGAAAATAAGTTAATAGCAGCTCTTTATGGTGGAAAAATATTCTATTTCATGGCAATCAAAGGAGGATTTTAATTATGCACTAAACATGTTGTCTTTGCAACTGTGTAGGTCAACGGTCTTGTATATTTTAAAGTGGTCTATTATGTTAGGACACAACGTGGGTTCATATTTTAAAAGTGGCTTTTCATTCTCGTTGAGTATGAAAAATGAAATGATTCATGGGTTTGTGTTAAGCACTGGACTCAAATGGAGCGATAAAGAAGCCAACCTTCAGAAACCGTGGAGAATTATTGGTAAAAAGATTTACAGAAAGACCAAAATAATCATTCAGTCTTTAACCTATATGAGTCATATTTCTTTGATACTCAGTTCACGTTTTATGTATTAGTCAAACATTCAGTTCACTAACGTTTTTCAACCTGCAATTACCCATGCAAATGAAGGTTTTCTTTATTTATTAAGTCATCTTTTGGATTGTGGGCATTTTTCTATTGTCATTTTAGTTTTTGAGGGAGGCATCATTAGACAGCAACACCATGGCCTAAAGTATACCAGGATAAACATGCACCCATATCAAAGCAGTGTGTTGAAATTCAAGATTTCAAGCTTCTCTTTGGTCATGAGGGGGTAAATGTCTGGTACTGCCGCCATACTCATTAAGTAGCATCTCTCCTATCCGGTTTGTCGAACTATCCGTTATCTTACCTGTATGTGAAAGTCAGGAGTTTTTGATAGATTGCATGTGGGAGGGAGAAACAAGTAGCCATTATCCAGATAACAGCCACCCAAACACCACCCTGAGCCGGCGTCATGCGTGGTCTCAGAGGATGCAAAATCACCTGTGAAGAAAAAAGGAGCTGTCAGTCCACAGAAAACTGACACAGTCAATAAATATGAGGCATTTCTGTTAGAATAAAACACCCCAGCCCATTTTTAAGGCAAAGGGAAGGAGTACTTCATGTTATTTGCTGAAAACATTGATAACTGCAACCAGACGTATACAGCCTACTTCGTTCATTGGATTGTTTTTGTTTTTGAAAGGTACTAATTAAAATGATTCAGGTATCCTGAATATTGAAATTGGATTGTTTTATGAAGGAAAAAAAACAAACATCGTATTTGTACTGAGACGGGTCATTCAGAAACATATGGGAAAAGGCTCAGAAGTGAAAAAGACTTATTTTCACAGGCTGCTCACCTTCACTCCCCTCTCCAAATTTGTTTAATCTAGTATAAGTATACATTAAAATAGCAAGAATCATAAAAAGTAACAGAGATGAGAGAATTATTCAGTCTCTTTTTAGAGGATGTCACAGCTTGACTAATGCCAAAGGACTGACAGAAAGTCCTTCTTTTGGTACCAACAAGCTCATATCAGGGCTCACTTCTCTGTTGTTTCAGATACCTCCAAAAGCAAACAAACTATTTCGCAAGACCAAATCCCTGGATTTCCTAACACGGATGAAGCACGGTTTAGCATTCTAAGCAGAGTTGCTGTTAATTAACTCACTTTTAAATAGGAAATCTCTAATAAACTTAGCCTTTGCAGCAGTGATAATTATTGATTTTTCTATTCCAGTGACGGTCCTGTCAAATGCCAGGTTCATCAGGATTTGATGTGTTTTGCAACTGCCCTTTTAAGAACATAAAAAGTCCTTGAAACTTTCCAGCTAAGAAGCGAACATTGAATACACTGAATCTGCTTTAAACAATGTATCTCATAGTTATATGCATTTTTTTTTCATCTTTTTACTGTGGTACTGAAAGCCTTATAAAAGAAAATCTTTCATTTATGCCAGCAGTATGGCTGTAATCATCAGAACAATCAACAATAAAACCTACAAACGCATAGACATGTTTTACCTTTTTTTATTTAAAAAAAAAATGGATCCATTGAAATGGTATGAATGTTTCACCTGCTACATTCCAACAGGGAAAGGTTCTCCTGTACATCAGCAGCTCATCTTCTGCTAATATGGGCTGAGATTTGTATTCGTGTACCTCATCATTTTCCCACGACAACATCATAAGCATCTTTTCTCTTATACATGCATTTATAACCACTCCACCAGTCTGCATTTGAAGAGAAGATTTCTTTTTTTTTCTAATTGTTTTTATTCACAGGGATGTTGCATTATTGGGTACAGCAGCAACCAAATCCCCTCATCCATTGCATTGCATCATATGTGTAACTGAATACAACACTTTTTTTTACTAGACAAAGCTGCTGACACAATTTGTATTTCGATTCGTAACATTTCCTTGTGCAAACCACACAAAAAAATGTCCTGTAGTTTTTTGTGCATTGGTAGCAACACACCAATATGCCACACACAGTCTCGTCCAACATGGTGAAAATAGTTCAAATGCAACATCTAAAATCAAATAAAAGATAGTGATGCATGATGAATGCTCCAGGCAGTTGAGTGTCTGCTGTAAAGTGGGAAAATAAAACATTGTGTTTGTGTTTGAAAAGCTGAAACAGCTCTGAATTATATTAAGGGCTCTTGTTACTTCGCAGATTTGGCACATTATGGGTGTTTTGTTGACTGAGGCAAGTTTGATGACTTAGTGCTGACGATCTGCCGAAATCCTTTTGTGTCTGTGTGACTGTCAAAGATCCTGTGCAGAATATAGATGAGTATATCAGTATTAGTATATTTAAATCTGTCACTTATGGGATGGCTTTGTACGTTTTAAAGCTGAGTTGATGTGCCATGTATGATATTTCAAAAGTATTTTGGCTGACCATGCTGAGCTGAAGTTCCTGGGCAACATGCATGTAGCTGGCTCCAAGTGCTTTGGTATCGATTCACTGCATAGTCAGCAAACTATTAACATCTATATGCATACTGCCAGAGGACAAGTCCATTTGACGGGCGGCCTCTCAGGCCTGACAGGATGAGACCCTGAGACGTCAGAGCAGTTGATTCTAGGTCATTAAAGCTGGAGCACATGATTGATTCTTTGGGTCAGTGTGGTGCTGGTGCAGGAAAAAGCTGAACATGCAGAACAAAATAGGGCACTTAAGCTGCACAATTACGGAGGGTGACTGGAATGCATTTGCCCTATCCTCTTTCCTATTAGTAGTCAAAATATTGTCATCTCGTGTTTTTTGAGACATAAAACAGGAGAAGAAACAGTGAAGAATGGAGACATGGTAGCAATTTTAATTGGATGTTTATGTTGCCTCTTTTGTGTTGGGGTGTTGTTTATTTCCTACATTTGTTTGTGATTTGATATCGAACAAATGAGGCGATTTCAATAGTCACTGTCAATATTCCCTTTTGTTCTAACCACCCTGACATGCAAAGCTGCCATCAAAGCTTCATATCTCCTTCATACAGCCCCGTCAGCAGTGGTTCTGTTTTCAAAGTCAGGTCTAAGGAAATGACTGACAGGTGTACACACCGTCTGAATTCTGAGCAGGCTTTCGGTTTATGGAAGGTTTGTGACAGAGAATGGAAAAGCACATATGCAAACTTAAATGGAAGCTTTAAGTAGACCTTCATCTTTGACTATGGTAACTTTAACTAATTGTAACTCCCTTAATGCAATGTTGAGATGAAGCCAAGGACTGAGATGCACACTAAAACCACCTTTCTCCCCTTCTTGCGCTTGCAGTCTTTCTTTCACATAAACTGGGATAAATGCTGTCCCGTGCAGGCGACAGATCCATCAATATAGCACAGATCCATTCACTTCCAAACCTAATGAGAAGCTCCAGACTGCTGTAATGATCCACCCTTACCTGTGCTAAGCCTGAGGTTTAGGCATAGAGCAAAGTATAAAAGAAAACATTCTGCTTGTTGGCTGCCAAGAGCAAAGCTCAGGGGATTACTTTTAATTTTTCTAGGCAATGTCTCAATTAAACAAAGACAATGTTTGCCAGGAGGGCTCATTTTAATTGGACCACTATCCTTGTCCATGTTTTAGAAGCATGGCAGAGACATTGATTTATTGACCAAAGAATGTCAAACTGTGCTACAGCAACAGAGGGTTTATGCCCCCTGCCCCGCTTGTAAGCACTGGGCATTTCCCAGTTGACCTATTATGTCAAAGACCAAAGCACTGGGCAAACCTTTTTAGCTAATAGCAAATTGGTGCCATGTAAATCAGTAAATATTACACAGCCTTGCAGCTCTATGTATTATACACGCTTCGCACCTCATGTATTTACAAATAAGAGTGAGACTATTCCTTGTGGTTGCTGTTTTCAGATCGTGGATCACAGACTCAATACAGACGACCAGCACAAATACTCCCCGGCTCAATTAAGACCACAGGAGGCCCTGAGACCTTAACACATGGGTTTGGCCCTGGAAGCCGTAGTATCTGAGAAAGGCACGAGAACTGCTGATAGAATCAATATGTCGCAGATTTGAAGAGAACTCTTTTCAATGTGAATAGCAATGACACGACCACGCAGCTCTTTATAGAGTCAACATTCTGAATACTCAAAGAACGCTGGCCCACAGAACTAGGGTCTCCAAATAGGGGTCTACAAAGTTAATTCAATTATCAAATGGTCTATTTTAAGCTCAAACTTTAAAACAATAATAATCAATAGTAACAATGACAATAAAAAATACGAAGAAGTAGAAGAAGGTGAAGAAGTCCACATATGTAGTTGTAATACAAATAGGATTTTAATTCCAACCGATTAGTGTAAATGAGTGGTGAAGCCTTTTCAGAATAGATAATCACTTTACAGACTGAAATCGTTTCAATTTGGCACTTCCATTTATATTAATTTGATTTATAAGCCTTGACGTTTCAGGTTGTGAGAACTGACCTTGGTTTTTTTTCCTGACTTCAGAGGGCTAATGCATATGCACCAGCTGAATAATTGAACACAATTGTCTGCCTGTGGCAACTAAAGAAACCTGATATTTGACTGAAGCTGCCAATATGTGAGAACATTTCATGAGTAGCTCTGTGACAACATGAATAGCTCTATGTGCTCAATAGAACTGACGTGGATTCAGCGCACTTCATCACAACTAGGAGTAAGACCATATGCTCAAGCTCTGGAGGCAATACATATGAATCTATCTTATCTTTTCTTTTTAGATAATATCAGTGAAATAGCAGAGTTGCAGAGTTCATCTTTATTGTGTGGGGAAATGTTGTGCATATAGGTTTTAAGTCACAGAGAGCTCTCTCAGCATAAACTTCACATTGCTGTGAATCATTCAGAAAGAGACTACAGAAGAGAGGATCATTCTTAAAAGCTGTAACAGTTTTAAACACTCCATCACGGTCATCCAGCACAGTCATCTGCAGGTAAGATGTACTTTGGGATCGTCTTTTATTTCTGTGCTCAAAGCTGCACAGTGAGGACTAACCAGTGGGGAGGGTGTCTCAAAGTTTCATTGTAGCCCCCACACACGACAAGAGAATACAGAGTGCAATTAATTGCAAAAAAAGTCACAGTGAATACATTTTCACAGCTTTTTCTCACAAATGCAAGCAAGGACACCTTCAGTGCAAAAAAAGAAAAAGATTGGTCTACTTTGTGTGATTCACTGAAAGGGATTAGTCAAAGGGGGAAAAAAACATCTATCTAACCACAGTCCTGATTGTAATCAGCAATAGCAAAACTGTGAGAGCAACCAAATGGGACATAGCTTTAAATAAAAGCAGGTTCACATACTGGTGGAGTTATTGATTGTGAGAAAAAAGGTTGTCGGTTTTGGATAAGGTGGTTTTGGTGCCAATGAAGAGAACCTCAGTTTTGCTTCTGTTTAGTTTAAGGAAGTTATGGGTGAACCAGATTTTAACTTCAAAGATGCAATCCGTGAGGGAGGTGGGGGGAAGAATGTGGTGTCATCAGCATAACAGTGGAAATTAATGTTACATTTTCGGAAGATACTGCCACGGGGGAGGAGGTAGATGATGAAGAGGAGGGGCTCCAGGACTGAACCCTGGGGCACCCCTGATGTGACGGAGGACTGGATGGATTTGAAGGGCTTGAGTTGAATGAACTAAGTGTGGCCAGAGAGGTAAGATGTTAACCACTCTAATGAAAGTGTTCTCCTAAAATGTAGTCAGGCATTGATGCAGGGCAGGAGATGTCCCACGACAATCTGAATGCTGTGGAGTGATAGAGGCCCGTCACACACTATGTTTGAAAAAGTCTCCTTTCATTTGTCTCCTTGCATGTTGTTCTAAATTCCTGTCTTTTCTACTGCACCATTATGGACAATAAAAATAGCGTTTGGGCTTATTTTCTGCTCTGCTTCTATCGTCTCAGAACGAAAGAAATAAAAGGAAATGTTTATGGTTAACATACTTTGGTGTCCAGTAATTCCAACTATGCCGAGAAAATGATGCAACAGTTTCCATGCGTTACCACCTCAAAATATACAACAAAACAGGAGTTTCATTACTAATTAATCACAAATTAATATCCTCTCTTTCATTTAAAGATAACGTTTTTGGGGTGGGGTGTAAGGGGATTCATCTGTCACATAATCTCACTTGCATTTCTTTTTATGACACTTTCTCTTTTTCAGTTTCTTTTTTGTGGCTACCATTTGAAATGTCTTGTGTCTGATTGCTTTTATCACTCTTAGGAGAACTTGATGCTTAAAGCACTCTGTAATGTGAGAGACCTAATAAAGCTTGAGGTTAAGGCATAAGGATTTCTCCCATATCCATTTCAAACTCGGAGAATAGTCAATCAGACTTCAGAGCTCAAAGTTTTTTAAGGTCTTTCTTTAGAGCAGTTATGATTTAAATTTTTAGATGCGGGTGTGGTCCAAGCAGTCCCTACCGTTTGTTTGTTTTGCTAAAAGAAATGCTACCCCTCTAATAATTTTTTGTCTCTTTGTTATATCATATTTTTATTTGTAATATTTCCAGATGGTCTAAGAGAATTGGCTACTGGGGCAAGGAGCACTTGTAAAGGCCGCTTTCTGAATCAAGGCAGCTTTTGCCTCATCCTCCTCTCCTCCTAACTGGCTACACCATGTGTCATGAGTGTTTTAAAAAGAATTCATACATTGATTTATCTGAGTTTTAAAGGTGGACTGCTGTCCACTGACTATGTTTTCATTAGTTCTCTCCTGTTTCATCAGGCTTTGATTAGGTCACTTTCTGACCTGATAGTTTTTGTTTTGTTTGTTTTTTTACCCTAGTCCAATCCAAAGCCGTAAATCCAGATTAATTACATATTTCCCTCAAATAACGTCTGAATAAATCTTTATAATGATACGTCTTCACTATGTCTCTGTGGCTGCTTGAGAGTTGAAGATGGGTCATTTTCGTGTTGGGTCTGCGTCGTTGGTGAACTGGGCATGACTAATATCATTACCTGACTTACATTCACAACACAGAGTCTGTTCCCGAGTGTGCTAATTATGTGCTATTCTCAAAAAGAAATGAACAGCTTCAAATGGTTCATTTTTCTTCATCCTAAAGTGGTTTGAGGAATGAATCTGATTAAATTTCTTGAGATGACTTCAGAGCTATTCGGCGCTATCAGTGCGGCAGCAGATGAGTTCTGTTCCGTTTTATGGCGTTTGAATTATCCTTTTACTCATCCATTTGTAGGCCTTGTTGAATCTGTTATCTGTACTTTAGAATTAATAAGAGACATTTTGTTCAAATGTAAAAGGACTGTGGATAAGGGAGTAACAGTCCACAGTGATTTTCTTATCATAACAAATAATAAAAATCTAAATTAAACAAAATTATTATTATCATTATTATTATTGTTATTAGCAGTAGTATTACATTTTTCTATTTTAGATTAACTTGTACATTATTCTGAAAGTAACATAAGTGTTTGAAATATTTGAGAAAAATATACAGCCACAGTGTTTTGATATTTTCTATCCTACATATTTTCCTGTTAGGATGATCTCACACTAATCAGACCGGCTTCAAATGCTTCTTTGATCTAAAATCTCACAAACAGATGGTGCATATCCCTGGATGGGCCCAGTACTTCATCACGAGCGAAGCCTCAATTCATAAAATCCATTTCTAGAAACATATTGAAGGACCTAGGCCAGAAAATGCACATAAGTGTTCTCTGCTGAGGTTTCTTTTCTTCAGCTCTTTCTTACTAAAGAGAGCAGTATTACAGATGCATTAAAAAAGCTTATTCTTCATGTTGAACCTCTGTAGTACCCATCTGAAGCTTTACATAATGAACCCATTTAAAATTCAACCCAACTGGCATTTTAGAGGTCTTAGCGAAAACTAGATACCCAATGAAAATCTGTTTCTTGAAATGTTCTTAGCTTTGAATTCAATTAATCCATGCTTTGGGTTTAATGATCCCGTCACCTTTCCTCTATCCAGTGGAAACTGCCCTCTGGACATTTTTTTATTTTCTATAAGAAGTCTCTTTCCCCCGTGCACAGTTTCAGCCCTGACCCTGGACGTTGAAAAAGCTGTCGGGATCTGGCTCCAAGGATTGATTTGTTAAGGGAAGGCTCAGGGTCATTGGAGTCAAAGTTTTATTCGTGCAGCAAGGACATATGCCACCCCACAGTGTCACACCGAGTTGTCCAAGGATTTTAAAAAAACATCACCTATGTATACCTTCTGCATGGAAACGCTTAGTAAAGAAAGTACTGACGCTTGCCTTGGAAAAGCAATCATTTGGATATGTTGTTGGCATGTGTCAGGCAGCCAGGTGTCTTTGTGCCCCCAACCGCTTCCGGTGAGTTGTGCTATTTGTAGGTAATGACTGCAGGGATGCTGCTCACCTGTGTGGGAAGGCTGTGCAGCTGGTTGGATAATTGCCTCTGCAGCTGGCCTATCGCAAGAGTGGAGCCACCTTAAAACTCTAGAATTTGCTGCAAATGGTTTTTGCCTTCCATGTGTCTCTTGGTGTTCTTCCACACACGCATCACTTGTGGTGAGCATGGGAGGCTTTTGGACTATAGGTGAGTTGCGGTACCCTTTAGATTTTGTTCTCTCATTCTTATCCCACTAGGCTTATTGGTTGTGCCACCACTCTACTGTTTGGGAGAGTCTTTTGTCAGATGAGCCAGTTAAGTACTTTGTTTACTTTCTTTCTTCAGAGGCAGCTCAGACAGAACTTCTTTTGTTCTAATCATTTCATTTGGCATTATCACTTTGTAGCTCAATTGTTCACTTCCACCAAGACTCGTTTTATTTACTGGTTGTGGTTATTTTTTTACCATTTGTTTTCACCATGTGAACATAACATTGTCAAGGCCTGCAAGCTCTATAGACAAAATAAAGCCTCAGTGGGATAATGATGTTTATCAAAGAATGTTTCTTTTCTCTCAGCATAACCCTGATTTTTCTGACAGTTCACAAATGTTTTTTTTTATTGTATTCCATCCTGACCTGCTTCCCTCGTTTATAAGTAACCGGGAGGAGGAGAGGGGTGTGTGAGGCTGACCAACCTGTCGTCGGTCCAGTGCGATGGCCGTGAGGGTGATGGTGGACACGTGCAGGGAGCAGTACTGCACGAAGCGACTGATGTGGCACATCGTCCTCCCAAACACCCATGTGCTGTTCACGAAGCGAACCTGTCAAACACATCCATCACAGAGAGTTTTTATAAAGCCCGTGAGCGACCGGCGAGGTCCCAACGGCGCCCCATCAACAATCCTCAGTGTCTGACAGAACATTATGACATTATGACAAATTAATTACAAGTTTATTTCATTAACTAATCGATCAGGTCATTAGCACAAATTCGTAAACAAGGAGAAAGAAACGGAAAGCTGGCGATGATGCCACCTGTTGGTGTCTTTAAAGCTTCATTACAGCCAACAAAGCAGATGTTCTTTCTCTTGACTGTTGCACATTCCTACCCCCAAACAAGCAGGCACCAAACAGGAATCGTGTATTGATAATTGTCCTTATTTTCATCCCTGCAGCCTATTTAGTATACAGGTGAAACAAGGTTATTTTTGCATATACAAATACAAAATTAAGGATATTTCTTCCAAATTTGAACATAAACTTGGGATCCAAGAGGGAAAAAAGCCCCTGATTCCCATCAGTTTGACAGCTAAAGAGAAAAGCATACACACATACACACACACAGACGCGTACACACACAGACAGAGGATGCGACCTCTTCCAGTAAAAGTTCTCACCAGGGTAAAAGGCGTGTTGAGGACCGTGATGAAGATGTCCGCCACCGCCAGGTTCAGGATGAACAGGCTGGTAGAGGACTGGGTCCGCTTGTTTTTGACCACCACATGGCACACCAGCGAGTTGCCGAACAGGGAGATGACGATGATGAGCGAGTACGCGGCCACGAGCAGCGCCTTCACGGCGCTGTCCTGCGCCTCCCTCCCGCTGCTCTGCCTGTTGGCCAGGGAGCGCCAGTCCTCCAGCAGACCCTCGTCAAAGTCCAGCAGGAAGAAGCCCGAGGTCCGGTTGCCCGACTGTCCCGAAGTGTTGAGCCAGCGCTCCGTGTAAGGAAACGTCCCCTCTCCAATGAGGAGTGAGGAGTCGTTAACTGATTGTCCCACTGCTCCCCGGGGAGAGCATCTCATGCAGAAAACCACCGTCAGCCAGACGCACGACACTCTCATTTTATCTGCTTTGCAAAAAAAAAAAAGAAAAAAAGAAAAAGTAGATTCCTTTCTTTCCCACCTGTGGGAACTGGGAGCTAGACTCCTTCGTGTCGTGCTGAGATGCAGAAGAATGAGCAACAAGTTGTGATGCGGCTCAGTGGAGACTGTCGTCTCTCACGCGAGCGCACCGGCGGGATCGCGCGCGCGCCCGTGTGTGTGGTCCAGGTGAGGAGCTGCTGACGTTGATGGAACCCAATCAGCAAGCCACACCTTAGAATCACACTGTTTTGTCATTTTTTATTAATCTTTTTTTTTTTAAAGACTCCAAAGTCTCTAAATGTTCATTTTAGGAGAAAGGTGTTCCCAAATGGGGTGAGAAGTCTCCACATAACATAATAACTTTCATCCTCACGTTCTTGGAGAAAGCTGTGTTAATTGAGGGTAATGTATGCTGTGATTGTAGTGCTAATTTCATATTGGAAAGCCTCAAGTCAAGGCAATTTACACAGTAAGGGTCCATAATTATTCGATGTGTGTGTGTGTGTGTGTGTGTGTGTGGGCAGGTTAAAATGTTCTTTAAGATCACACTCATACATACTCTTAAACTTGTGCTTTAAAACTGACTGGCTTTCGACGGTATAGTAAAGCAGACGCATAAAATCCTCCTCCCATCCTGTTAGTATATTGATTCCAGCTTGGTAAAGTGTTTGTCTGCAGGGGAAGAGTGTCTGTTTGGAAAGTCAATCCCGGGCCCTGGAGAATTTACAAGAGCTCGGTACATTTTAAATCCTACTTCGAATGAAAGCTCGGTGAATGTTTTCCGGCGGTGAGTAATCATACAGTTTTGTTCAAACTGAGAAAGGATTCATTTATGCCACATTCTGTTTTACGCGTTTCCTGTTATAGTGAATGGAATCCACAGAAATGACGTAACCCAGGGCAGGTTGCAGTTCTCCTCACCTTTTTGCAACACTCTTGGTGCAGCTATATCTGTCACATAACACAAGCCAAAGGACCAGAAGCTTACGAGAACAAAGGCTAAAGACCAGGAGAAACATGGGAGAACAACAGAGAATCTTTAGAAAGTGCAGATTTATAATTACCTTTATGCATTTAGCAAAGGCTTTTATCCAAGGCGACTTACAAAAAGATGGTTTACCATCCAACTATACCACCAGTTACACAGTTACCTTACCTTGAGTACAATATGCTAAAAAAGGATTTCAAATTAAGAAGTTAACAGTCAACTTTAACATAGATTACACAAGTACCGTACATGAAGTGCTATATGCTATTGGGAAATAAGTGCATTTAGAACTTGAAGTACAAGAGATACTCTTGAACAAGTTGGGTCTTCAAAAATTTCTTGAAGGAGGAAAAAGTATCCAATGCTCTGATCATGCTTGTATGGTCGTTCCACCAGCGGGGAACTGCAGATTAGAAGAGTCTAGATGGACCTGTGTCGCACGTTGGGCCAGGTATTGATGTCAATGGACATACAAGCAATGGGCGAGGAGAGCTCATAGACAAGAAGAGTGATTACACAGGGCGCACAGGTAAAGGGAGTGGAGCCGATGACCAGGATGGAAAGATAGAGCGGAGACGAAGAGGGATTACAAGAAGTGAAGTTGACAGAGACAAGGAGGGAGGGGACAGGAACTTCGAACTTCGAACAAGGAACAGGTAATGATCAAACAAGTAAACAGGAGAAATTGAGATCCAGGCCCGGGGATTTCGATCTTTGCCAAATCGGAGAAATTTTCTTCACAAAACAGAAAGACTTATATATAATTTAAAGCTGCTTATCAATATTACGATTGGCTATCCTAAAATATAAACTGTCAGGTTTGAAAAAAGGTTCATATAACTTGATCGTTATCTCTGTGGGGCATTATTCCAGTCAAACTTGTAAGTGAATCATGACAGTACTCTCAGTTGCTTTTCCGCTGCATATGGGTTGGTAAATGTAACTTCATCTTATGATTAACACTGTAAGTCCTTTCTACATCAGTCAACCGTAAAGTGAAACAATGGACAACACTGGGTCAAAATGGTCTCACTTGTTCGTTCCCGTAAGCACTTTGGAACAAATCAATTGCTCTAATCGTTGCATTGTGCCATTAAATTGGTTGTGACAATTTGATTGTGACAATAATTGGATAAGGACAATGCAATTGGCATTAGAAAATGTAGCCATGTAACAATTTGTAATTGTAGGGGGAAACATATAGTAGTTTTGATTCCCACATTTTCTAGCTTCTGTTTATCCTGTTAAGGAAACAATGTTTTTACTATAACAGCTAAAATATGAAATGGGTCTTAAATGTAATTAATCAAAGGATTGCAATGATTATTTTCATCATCATGGTGTCGTAAAGGTAATGCTGTGACCCTCACAGCTTGTTCTTTGGGAATAGATGAAAAACCTGGTAAAGATCATGACCTTTGAACCCGCATCCACACGGGAAATCTTTTCTATTAAAGGGAATCCGTATTTTCCGAAAGGACCTTATCTCTTTTTCATACCTCTAAGTGGCATGTACAGACTTGCCTCTCTTGTGTGTAGAAGGCTCCACCTCGACAGAATAATTACACTTCCTGACATTTCAGCTCCTCCTGGATGTTGTTTCATTCTACAAAGAGGGGCGATTTTGACAGGCCATTTCACAAAGATCATTGAAATAACTTAAGGCCTGCATCAATAACTGTCCCTGAAGAGTCAGAGGGCACAGGCTCACGGCAAACTCTAATAATGTGGGGTTTTCATTTTTACTCTTCACACTTCAAGGAGAAAAAGAAGACCTATAAGAACTCCCCTAAGCACGGATCAGCAGCATTAGAAGACCCTTTGTATTTCTGTGCATACGTGCTTTGTTTTTTTAGAGTGGCTTTAAGGACTGGGAGTGAAACCAAACACTAATTTCATGAAATTTGAAAGTAATATAAAATTCTCAAAACTAAATACTTAAACTTTGCTTATCACGATGCTATTATATCCAGCAGAAGGGTCATGAATTATTCATTTGTTTAAGTTTGTCTTCTCAACCCATGCAAGAGTTTTAATGATCTTTTGTGCAGGATGCAAAAAGGTTTTGAGCTTTTGTGTTAACTTTTCTGTGTGTTTCTGCACCGCCCACAAAATATTCTTAAGAGCCAGAGTTGCTGAGCAGCAAAGCAGACCTCAGAATTTTTTTCAAATGTGCAATTTGTTTAGAGGACATCCAAAATGCCGTCCATGTATGGCAGGGTTTTTGAAGAGATTATAATATATGTTGAAACAGAAAGACTGAATATGGAAAGAAATGTTTTATATTAATCAAAGTGAGTGATTAGGATCTAAATTATACATCACAGTGTTGGATGATGTCTTATCAGTCAGGGTTTATTATCACAGGAGTGATGAAAAGGACAAAATCAGCAGCAATAAAGAGTCAATTAAGAGTAAATCTCAATATCGTATTTATCTGTATTGTGCAATTATATTCTGATAAAAAAGGTATCAGGATTACTTCGTCCAAGTCAAATCGACTGTTATCTCTTTTATATTTTACTCTAAAGCAATGATGACATCTGTGTTGAGCAAGCAAACTAGAATTGGATGGGTCTCCATCTTTTTATGTGTTGTCCATGGTTAGTCAAAAATCATTTCAAAAGGATTCGGCAGCAATGTATTGGGAGCATTCTGTGGCAACCCTCTTTTCAAAATTCAATTTTGCTGCCAGAGAAAGGGATAACTTCCTCAGTTCCTCATTCTTCTCCTCTAAGGGACTGTGCTTCTAATAAATCTTACCCACAGTCTTATGTATGTTCCCCACTGAAAAACCTGATTGCCTTAACACTTCAGAATTTCTTTTTATCCTCCGTCAGACAGAAAGTAACAAAGGAATGAAATGATCTAATGTAAATGCAGATAAGGCTTTTATGTGAAGGCAGAGTTTTTGTGTATTGGATTTTAATTCAAGGAAATGGTTTCCTTCTTCAGTGACACAAAAAAAAACTCTAAATGCTTGATACAGCCCCAGTCACAACCAGACTGGATTCAGGATTTTTCTTCATTCTCACATAGAAAGAATACAATTGCCAGTGTTGTTGTTTTTTGTTTTTGTTTTTTGGGTGATTTCCAATGTAAAAACATAATAATATTTCTGGAACTTGAATCCAACTTAGGCTTTTCTATTGACATATTGTGATTAAATAGCCTCAACCCTCCCTCCTTCACTTAAGTGATCAGTGAGAAATGTATGTCTGTGTGGGCCCTGTGAAGACCTGTCTAAGCTGTATGCTGCTTCTTGCCTGAAGGCATATTACATGTTCCGCAACTGCCCCTATAACCCTAAACAAGTTAAAGAAGCAATCACAAATTAAACTATTAATGAGATTGGAGTGGGCGCTACAGTGTGAAAATACACACATGAGGTCACACATATTTTGGGCCATTTTATTTCGTAATAATCATCATGACTTTTTCGTGAAGAAATCAAAACTGCAAACGCTATTACAGATCAAGGTTACGTAAATTCAATTACATATTTTTTTTCTCTTTTTTACCATTTCACCGAATCCCTGTGAGTGACAGAAGACCATAAAAGGAGCATCAGAACTACCAGAATATTACCAACGAAGAAGCTCGCATCTAAAATGGCTGATGGGTAATGATGTTGTTCGAATCGCTTCACTCTAGCTTTCGTTTCGTTTAAAACTACATATACCATATGACTTCACGGCCGGGTTTTTTGTTGTCATTCTTCTAGTTGTCTCAGATGTTAATATCCTAATGTCAAAATTAAGGTAATAAGTATTGAAAAAACTAGACTGTGATATGAAATGCTGAACGCGCGTTGCTTCTGTCGTAGTCTGGCGTTGGCGTTTCGTTTCAACCTTTACAGTGAATGTTATACGCGATGTATTTATCTGTTAAAAGCAAATTCTTTGCGACTGAGGGTGTAATATCGTAATGAGCTGGTTTGACCTAGTAAATTGCTAGCATAAATCCTAATGTACGGTATGCGAATTGTTAT